GATAACATGAAAAATGATTAATCACATCTAAAATAAAAGTTTTTGTTTATATAATATATGTGTGTGTTACTGCATATATTTATTATGTATAAATACACAAACATATGTGTATATATTTAAAAAAATATTTACATGTATGTATATATATTTTCATATATAATTTGTTATATATATATAAATATTTTATATATAAACAAAACATATTTTTCTTAAATATATACATGCATGTGTATTTATATACATAATAAATATACACATTACACATATATTACATAAAAACTTTTATTTTAGATGCGATTAATCACGATTAATCATTTGACAGCATAGATGGAAATTAATAATTTTCATTATTTTGAATTCAGATGTAGTTTTTGGGTTTTCTATTTATCAATATATTTAAAGATCGATACAAATCTTTTTTGGCATTGATGGTTCTGTAAAGCACCTATAACATTCATGGAAACTTTCCAATGCACAAGAGGTACTTTACAGTGGAAAGTTCTTTTCAATTATTAGCCTAAAAGTAAAAAAAAAAAATAATGATTCTTTTAAAAATGGTTCACTGAAAGGGTCTTTGGTGAACCAAAAATGGTTCTTCTATTGAATTACTGTGAAAACCTCCTTGTGGAAGCTTTATTTTAAGAGTGGAGGCTACTTCATTGTTACGTTGGGTACGAGTATCCCATTTGCATGGAAGGCAGCTTAATTCCATGTTAGTTTGACATTAGGATGCATCTCACAATCATGACAGAGAGGGGCCTCTACACGGCCGCAGGGCCCTGCAGGAGCGTAATCCGTCATTATTTAGATGAGCCTCAGTTTGACGGCAGGGACTGCAGATGCAGCACATGGTGTGCACTAAAGCTCGTGCCCTACTTAGAGCTCACGTGATGGTGAGGAGCAGTCAGTCGCGCATGAGAGAGCGGCAGAGGAATGCACACTGTATGCATGGGAAGAGCTCATGGGGCTCAGAAATACAGTGTGTTTATGAGGCTGACGGGTCACAGCGAGAGCTCAGTGTGTGTGTGTGTGATGCTCTCAGAGCCGGAGCTTTGTGTTAAAGCAGTGGGATGCATATAAATAATAGACACTGGCACACAGACACAGCATGGCTGCCTCCACATTCACACGCCGCTGTCTGATGTCCTGGAGATGAGGAACACAAACACACACTCCCCACCTGAGGAACAGCGTTTGAGGCTGGTCTCTTAAAGACGTCTCAGTGTGTGAATAGAGGCTGATGACTTTTCTCCTATGCTGTGTGTGTGGTCTTCTGTTTGTTGAGATGAACTGAAGGACGGTGATACATCAGAGCAGAAACACCAGCCTTGAGCTCAGAAAGTACACAAGTGTTTGTGTTCGTGTGTGTGTGTGTGTGTGTGTGTGTGTGTGTGTGTGTGTGTGTGTGTAAGGTCAGATTTGATTACCTTGTGCGGTTCTCCAGAGATACAGCACACACAGATAAGAGCTCCCAAACTCACTGAGCTCTCAGTGGCTCACCATCAAAATGTTGGACAAGACTGTGTATGATTCATAATTTTTATGGATCTCATTTGAGCCGAGGCTGATTTGTCAAACTTTCAGATTTGAGACTAAACAAAAAAGCATTATGAATCACCAACAAAGATCTGTTTCCAGATTGAAGTCTTGTTCACTCAAACAAACAAAATGAAAAGGCGCTACATTCTGAGTAGTAGTAGTCGACTGAGAGGGATTTTATGATGGCCAGAGCAGGCTGATGTATATCAGGGTACGTCTGCACAACAACGGTGGACTAAAAACTGAACAATTGTGCGTACAGACAACAACATTGTCAGAAATTAGCCCTGTTCACACAGATCCATGAAAATGACTGAAAGCGCTGTATCATTCATGCCAGGCCAGTAGTTGGTGACGTCACTTTGTAAAGAAACTCACACATACCTATAGACTGAACACGTCATTTGCATGAACATGACGTCACTATTTTCACAAATGAGCATTTTTGTAGTTTACAATCAAGGTATAATTTTCAAAAACTTTGAAACCCGTTTTGAAAAGTTTGTGTTTTCATGCTCCCGAACAGCCAAAACACACCATTTATACCGTTTCATTTAAAGATCGCGAATACAATACAGTTAAATGTATAATTAACACAATAGTTACTAAATTAGAAATAAATCATTTGGAGTTTCCTACTGTAATCCTATTATCGTATTTTTAACAAATAAAGAAATGACCATTTACTTGATTTGTTTAACCTCCTGTCTCATGATTTATTAACCAGAACTGTTAAAGACAGTGAACTAATGAAGACGGAGAAGTGGATCTCAGTGCTGTCAAAATAAAAGTCCCGCTTCCAGCACTGATCAGCCAAACAGAAAACCTATTGGCAGATACTGATCATTAAAAAATGTCAAATACTGACAATTGTCAATTCAAGACCAAGAGCCAAATTGTAGATGAAAGGGCTGTTCACACCAGGAGCAAGGCTGAACGAGAACCAGCTTCACTCCAGTACAGTAGGTGGCGCTGATCGACAATCAGATTGACTCCAGTGCATTAGATCGCTGTAAAGATAGATGACTTTATCCTCTATTAGCCGGTGGCCATTCTGGAAACACGTCACACTTGCACAGGAGAACCAAAAACCAGCTGTGCACCAGCGCCTTTAAACTACTGCTGTAAACGCCAGTAGCTTCTCACCATGTAAACCATCTGACTACACGGACAAAAAACCTTGATTGGTTATATACTTAGCTTATATGAGCATTATAAGCAGCCTATAATGGTATAAAGATGAATTAAACAAATTTGGACATTAAAAATGTGAGGTGTGAAAAGCAGAGCCCATGATAGGGCATGTTTATTTGTGGCAGGTTATGTAGTAACAGGCCGGTGGAGTTTCACTGGAAATGAGTTCTTGAAATAGCAGCTGGTGCTTGGCTTTCTAAAGTGGGCGCAAGACGAACAGACCGTCTTAAATGCACACACTGGCTATTTGAGGTGAGAAGGCTCATAACACTGATCTAGGACCAGCCTCTCCATCACATGACCGCAGGAGATGGCATGAATCAGGCCGTTCCTCAGGAGACAGGAGATGAGGCTTCGCCATCAGAGAAACACAGACGTTCATTCTACACGCCCACACATCAGTGTCCGAACCAGTGATTAAACATCAGAAATCTTACTTGAAGATCTGCGTCAGGATATTAAGATTTGATTTTAGAGAATATAGCTCTGAACTGACCTTACAACAGTGATTATTTATAGGAATAGTCCAACCAAAAATGAAAATTTCCTCCTCAGGCCATCCTACGATTTGTAGAAATGTAGCACTGCATCAGTGTCTCAGCAGTGGATGCTCTGCAGTGAATGGGTGCCGTCAGAATGAGAGTCCAAACAGCTGATAAACACATCACAATAATCCACAGCACTCCAGTCCACCAGTTAACATCTGGAGAAGACAAAAGCTGAAACAAGACGTTTTTTAACTAAAATACCATAGAATTCATAATCCATAATAACTCTTCCTCCAGTGAGTCAGTGTTCTGGTGTGAATCAGGAGAGAAATCTGCACAGATCACGCAGCGTTTAAACAGCTCTAAACACATATGTGGCTGGATTTTGATGTGAGAGACAACAGCAGATGCACTTTTTCACTGGAGGAAGCGTTATTATGGATTATGGACAAATAGTAGTAGAAGATGAGAGTAGAAAACTCTATTAACTAGCCACTCTGGATATGTAGTATTTGACATGCATGTGTCATAACAACGCCCTTGGCTTTCACCTCTTAAAGGATTTTTTCAACAAAAAAAAAAAGGATTGCATGCATCCAACAGTTCAGTAAAGCTTGATGGACAGAATGGCAGAAATCAACAAGGCTTCTCAGCGCAATGATTTGATTGGCTCTTTGGGCTGTCAGCCGTTTATCTGGGGTTAAGGTCAATTCAGTTATTGCCTCAATGATTGAGAAAGAGTTTTTAATGCAGTGTTATTGGGAAAGTGTCTCAAGTTGACTTAACAAGAACCAGACTGGATCATGTCTGTGTTTGCTGGAGGAGAATGTGGGAGATATGAGATCTGGCCTGTTGATGTTCAGTGCGTCAAACATGTAGTGCATGACGGGATTTATGCCATGAGACTTGATTGATGGATGCTGTAAGGTTATGCATTGGTTGTTTCATGTATTCATGTATTTTAAGTGCATCGCAAGTGCCTCGAAGGTTCCTCTCTGATGCTCAAACAGATCAATGTTTTGAGGTTTGAGAAAGATTTTAAACAAGTAAAGACGAGACCATTTAATGTAGCCAGAATATGAGACTAACAGAGAGACACTGGAGAGTCTGCTGTTGTGTTTTGGCCAGTGACTTGACGGATGATTCGATTAACACCAGTCAGTTATTGTGTCGGTTGTAAACAACACACAGTACACAGTGTACTGATATGAGTATCAAATCAATTACGCAATCAAATAAAGCTGCACAATTAAATAAGTAATCGAGATTATCATGCAGTTCATTTCAGATCTGCTCCTGTTGCATCATGTTTATATTGTGTTTTTTGTTGAAGAACAAGAAAAGCAATGCTTTTAGTATTTCTAAATTGACTGTTGAACTCGATGCATTGTAGACAGTGTTTTACCCAACATGCACTGCAGAGACACTCCCATTCAAATCAACAAGACGTAGGTGTGGCTGAATCAGACATTTGAGTAATCTCAACCTTTCATAATCACAATTACAGTATCAAGAGAAATAATCAGCAATGTCGTTATTGTCATGCTCATGCAGCCGAAAAATCAAAGCCGTCGTAATTGTTCCGAAATCTACGAAACATGATCTGGAAGCCATCAATCAGCTGCGGTGATGTGATTGAGCCCGAAGCCTGCGCTCATGACGGTGAATCAGCAGCGTCTCGTCCTGCTTCATCAGACCATCTGTGTGATTCTGATGGTTTATGGTGCTCAGAGTGTGAGGAAATCACTTCAGGTTGTTAATGTGTTGTTTATCTTGCAGATCTTTTGCAAAGCAGGCAGCGTGCCACTCGGACAAGTACGTGTTCCTCCCTTCATGTCTCTGTGTAGTGTACTTTAACCCCTCACTACCCTACTGCTGAGGGACTAGACGCAGATTCACCCCACTGTGTTTGTTTGCAGTAGCCAATCTTATCCATTATTTAAGGGATGCACGATATATCGCGGAGCAGAAAGTATGAGCAGAAATCAGCATTTTAACTCCTCTGGTTCGGCTGATATACTGGAAGCAGATAGTATCACAGATTACTGTATCGTTTTAGCCAACTGTGAGTCATTAGATGTACTATAGTATAGTACTAACCAACGTTAAAGTAATGCTTTGATTCCTATTTTAAGCATTAAATTAGACAAGTGCAAATCTAGATTGCTGATCTAGTGTAACATACAAAATGGTATATATTTATGATATTAGATGTCAAAATTACAGTAAATTATTTTACTGTCAAATTTAAAACAAAAGTACTAAACATTGATAATTATATGTAAGTATAGTTTTTTTTAAAGGAATTAATACTTTTGTTCGAGGATGCATTAAATTGATGAAAAGTGACAGTAAAGACATTTATAATGTTACAAAAGTAAATGCTGTTATTTTGAACTTTCTATTCATCTGTGAATCCTGAAAAATAAACTGTATCCCGGTTTCCACAAAAATATTGTGCAGCACGACTGTTTTCAACATTGATGATAATCAGAAATGTTTCTGGAGCAGCAGATCAGCATATTATACTGATTTCTGAAGATCATGTGACACTGAAGACTGGAATAATGATGCTGAAAATACAGCTGCACATCACAGAAATACAGTACAGTTTAACAGAGATTCACATAGCAAACAGCTGTTTTAAATTATAATCATGTTTCACTGTTTTTACTGTATTTTGGATCAAATAAATGCAGCCTCGGTGAGCAGAAGAGACATCTTTCAAAAACATTTAAAAATCGTACTTATTCCAAAGTTTTGAACAGTAATGTGGGTTATAAATTATTATTAATTTATGGGTTATCAGCTGAATAATTACTGGCATCAGTCAGAGTGTCAATATCTGTGCATCCCTCCATTATTCCTGTTTAGATGAATCTAATGATGAACAGAAAGTCTGAAGGCTGAGAAAGAGAGCTTTAGCTGGTAATTGTGATGTTCCTCATTAGCACCTGTAACCCTGTGTGTGTTTGACAGGCAGCTTTTACTGATGCCTCTGTGTGTGTGTGTGTGTGTGTGTAGGTATTAAGAATTCCCCGGAGGATGAGGAGTTAGTGAGTCTGAGTAAGCAGCTGGTGGAAGATGCCGTGTTGCGGGCCGTGCAGCAGTACATGGAGGAAACTCAACAGAACGGCACCGCGCCGAAAGACGAGGCTCCGCCGGGGGCCGCCGGCAAACTTAACACCACCAAATGACCACGTGAGCCCTGAGCCGGACCCTGCGGAGAGCCGCAACACGCCTCCACCTGCCAGGGGGCGCCAGAGCGCAGCGGAGAGCGATTGAGTTGAGCTGAAGTGGAGCAGAGAGTGAACACAAGCCAAGTGAAGACGCACACAGCACTCGAACTGAACTTTATTTTCCTGCCTTCCCCCCGTCCTGCATCACTATCTGTTTGACTTTATTTGTGACGGATCCTTCAGAGAACAAGCACACAGGTTCACACACACACACACACACACACACACACACACACATGCTGCTGTAGTGTCCGGAGGCCATTGCTTTGGCATCTTCACATCTGACAATCACAGTGAACTGCTCAGATGGACTGCACATGACCTGCAGGCCTGAAGCCCGAGCCGTCAGAACAGCTTATGAACTCTGAAAGTGTTATGAACACGCTGTTGCTTTTGTGTGTGTGTAACCCTGTCAGATGATGATGTGTGTGTTGTTTGTGCCGTAGGGTGTGTGTTTGCTCAGAGCAGAATGGATCGGGAAAGAGAGCGCAGGCGGACGCAGGTAGAGGCCATAAAGACACTGTTAGCACAGGAAAACATTCGAGCTAAGATCCGACAGGAGCTCGACTCGGCCGTCAGAGGGAGTCCACACTGAAGCTCATGGACACACACAACCATCTCAAAGTAAACGCACTCACACACACAGACCTTCACTGATGAACACACACACATACTCTGTGAGGTTCAGAAAAGCCACACACACATCAGTCCACAGCGTTCTTACTGAAGCGAGGCCGGCCTGAAGTAAGCTTACTATATGATTTTTGGGGGGAATTAAAATGTAAATGAGCTGATTTGATTTGTCACAGTGGCCTTAGAGAAATCACACCTTCTTATATTGCTGAAGAACATGCCGTTTCACTTTTGCTTTTGCGTATTTTCACCAGAACCTTCAAATGTGTCTTTTTATGCTCCCTGTCCTGATCTCTCTTGAGTTTGCCCGTTCTGATGAAGTGTTGAAGCCAGCTCCATTCATGTAAACAGTGCTGTGACGTCATCGTTCAGCGTTTCCTTTCCCATCTGTCACTTTTTTTACTCTTAAAAATAAAGATGACAGCGAGTGGACGTGATTCATTTCTCTGCGCGGCTCTGTGTTAATGATGGAGGTTGAGGTTGTTCTTAGAGTGTAGATCAGTCTTGTGTCTCAGAGTCATGTTGGCAGGGTTTTTCCGAGAGCTGCTTGCAGACACATTTGCAACGCCTCCAACTTTACGTTGGACTATTTTTTCCCTCATCCTCTGAAATAAGCATATTGCGTGCCGTCTGCTGAGCGTGAGAGAAATCAAAGCACCACTGAGAACAACAGCCTTGGCACATTCGAGGCTCTAGAGTTCTGACACGAGGACTAGACGTTTATTCGAGGGCAGGCAGAAATAAGATTTAGCTTCTGAAGCCCGGTTTGGTCATTATTTCTCAGCAGGGTGTCTGTAAAAGAATGTTTGCATGGATAAAACTTAGAAATTCAGATGCCAAATAATTCACTGAGGACAAATTCATTCTTAAAACTTAAAAAAAAAAAAAATTCTCACATGGTCATATTACACATAATATGCATATAATATACATTTTGTATCAAATTATTTTTATCTAAATCATAAATTGTCACATTAAAGCCGCTGGTGTTTATTGAGAATAATACAGTATAAATATACACTTTTAAATCTGGCAGTACTATTTTAAAAAGAAATGTTTTTTAAAGAAATTATACTTTTATTTATTATTGTTACAAAAGATTTCTGTTTCTAATAAATGCTGTTCTTTTGAACTTTATGTTCATCTGTGAATCCTGGAAAATAAAATGTATCACAGTTTCCACAAAAATATTGTGCAGCACGACTGTGTTCAACATTGATGATAATCAGAAATGTTTCTCGAGCAGCAGATCAGCATATTATACTGATTTCTGAAGATCATGTGACACTGAAGACTGGAGTAATGATGCTGAAAATACAGCTGCGCATCACAGAAATACATTACAGTTTAACAGAGATTCACACAGAACACAGCTGTTTTAAACCGTAATAATATTTCACTATTTTTGCTGTATTTTAGTAAATGTGGTCTTGGTGAGCAGAAGAGACTCTGCAGTACAGTGGTCATGTTGCTTACAGTAGCCCCTTTGAACGGTTCACATGATTCGCTCTTGATGTTTTCTTTCTTCTTAAAATCTCTCAGTCATTGTGACGCGTGACGACCTTTCCTAAACACTCCTTCATTATACCCAAAATACTGTACACAAGCGCTTACAGTGCCACAGCACGCAGAGCTCAAACGCAAGAGCACTCTGAAATCAACTTTTTCTCTTCCTTCTTGTAAAAGCGGAGATGTCGGAGCATGAGCTTGTCTAAAAACAGGAAGCAGTTTGGCCCAGAATTTTTTCCAGAGACACGGGAGGAATATTTTCAATTCAACCCACAATTAAATCACCGGTTCAGCGCCTGTAAAAGCACATCTCGTCCCCCTGAGAAATAACCTCCATCTGAACAAGGGCTGTAGCGGTGTAGTGTCAGGATCAGTCAGTCACCCTGAAGGTCTGAAGCACGGATCTGTCCAATCCCATAATGCACATCTCGGATGGCCTGAGGGTGAGTAAATTAACAGCAAATTTCATTTTTGGGTGAACTATCCCTTTAAGCAATATGATTTAAATTTAAATTGATATTCAAATCTTCCCCCAGACATTTATCTCTCTTAGTTTCTTAGCTGTTTTTCTTGCTCTTTTGTGCCTAACCCTTATGAAAATTAACCATGATTTTATTATTAAAAGTGTAGCAACCATGTTTTTTTGGCATATTGATTACCATTTGTATATCTGCAGTTTTACTACAAATACCATGGTTAAATTACGGTTAGAGTTGCAAAACCATGGTTAATTTGTGGTTCCCATGGTTTAACTATAGTATGGTTTTATAGAATGGTTTTATTTCTAGCAAAACCATGGTTAATTTTCATAAACATCACCGTGATGCACAGCCTGTCGTGATTTACTTCTGTCATGTTTTTTGATTCAGTGTATTCAAGGTATTTGATACTATCGAGTGATCAAGTCATACTGGTAAGAAATGTATAGCCTGAATGCACTGTAAGTCGCTTTGGATAAATGATTAATAATTATTATTATTATCAAGTACTTGATACTACAAGAGAGCCTGAGAAAGCAGCGCATCTGTTTGCCAGAAGAGAAACAGCTGATATTATTCTACTGGAACATTAGACTGATTAATATCTTCTTAAGCTCTAAAACATCCCAAAAACCACAGTGTGAGTCCTGAATAAAGCAATGTTCTTGTCAGAGTGCATTAGTGAAGCCATTAACAGAATATAAAGCTGCATAATGCAACTCTATGCTTAGGCCATCCATGTGTATTAGTCTGACTCGCAGCTCATAATGAGAGACAGCGATGTAAAAAGACAAACAGAGCAAGTGTGACAGAACAGAAGAACTGTTTTTGGTGATGTTAGCATCTAACAAAGCAGTCGCCCAATATCTGACAAGCGTACGTTCACTTTAAACCCATTAACTCATAGTTACAGCCCGTTGACCTCGAGTTACTGTCCTCATGCAGAATGGAGCCGTCATCATTATCAGAGAATGATAATGAATGAGATAAAGCCGTTCTGATGTCAATCACTGCATTCGGCTGACACTTGCTGAATGTTTCTATGAGCGACTAACACAGATTCATCATGAATGATTCGTTTGATCTGTTCTCTGCAGTCCCTCAGTTCATCTCCTGTGCTGGCACTGTTTCTCATTGACATGCAAGAGTTGCGTCATGCTGTTCCAGACTCCTGACAAACACACTCACTCACTCACGCAGGATGCGTTCTTGTACTGCTCTGGCAGTATTTTATGTTCATGTACACTGTGCAAATTATGGGCATTTTCTGTGTGCATGTAAAGATCCTGATGCACTTCAAGAGAAATGGAGGAACAAACTGGTGTGCTGTCATTTCAAACAAAATTATGCCAAAATAAAGTTAGTTTAGAGTTTGTTTCAGGACTTCAAAACATTCCAGAAAAGTTTGCTCTGCCTGCTAAACACCCTCGAATTACCTTCTTTGACATGCAAAATCAAGATCAGAGGCCAGGAAAAACACGAACACACTGGAGAACTGTTATAGAGATGAAACTGAAGTTGTAATTCTAACTGAAAGCAACACTGTTGTTCATGTTTTATACTATAAAGCTGCACAATCTGCTGTATAAAGTGCTAAATGAATAATCAGCGTGCCGTGACTGCAGAGCTGGTGCAAATATATGCACATGATCAGATGCTTTCTCAGCTGCTGTTTTCTCACCGTTGTCATTTTTTATGTGTGTTTATTTTGTTTTTGAGAGGAAACCCTTGATGAAGCTGCTCATAGAGATTGTAAACCACACTGCAGTAACAACAAACCAGCTGTTCCAGTGGTTTACATTATGCAGTTTAGCAATATGTGGTTAATTTACAACAAAACAGCAGAAAACATCATCCAAAATCAGTTTTGTCTTGCATTACATAATAAAATTACATAATGAGCTCAGTGTCAAATTATTTTCAGCTAATTATATTTCGTGAATTTGTAATCTGCGCAAAGGATTTTGGGTGATTGAAGGACATGAAGGACACACCTGATGCATCCTTCAAAACAGGCCAAATGAAGGACATAAAATAAAGACTGCCTACTAAGTATTCTTTAAATTGAGACGTCCTTCGAAGGGAGCTTTATGACGATGTGTAGCCTTACTAGTACGCATCCTTCCGATTGACAAGCACCTGTTAAGATCAACCTAAACCTTGATAAAGCTGGTTAGAGCTGATAAACCACACTGCAGTACAACAAACCAGCTTCCATGTTCCAAAACCCATCTAATGCTAATGTGTTTTCAATTCTATGTTTTGTTTTGTGGTTTTCATAGAAGACGGTTGCTGTAAATTCTGTACTATTTATACTGCAGTAGACTGAAAATTACTCTTCGCCTTTCCCTGAAGACACAGTTCAGGTAAACCTTTAGTTTAGTGACTAGTTCTCACTATTAACTAGCCTGTATATTAGTATGCATATTTCTAGCATATTGGCTGTTTATTAGCACTTATAAAGCACATATTAAAGGCACAATATGTAAGATTTTTTTAATTAAAATATCCAAAAACCTCTAGAACAGTGTTATATATTTTGCTGACTTGTGTATTTACATTATCCCAAATGTTTCAAAGAATGTTTAAATCCAGAGAAATAAGCAATTTTAACTAGTGACGCAGAGCGTGTCCATCGTGTCATTGTGTCGCCTGCTAATGACGCCATAACCCATCGATTTTTTGTTTTGAAGAAAACATGGAAACAGCAAAGACGCTTTAATATGTTGTGCGTTTTAATAGACCGGTGACGACCGCACAGAGTAGCGTTATAACAGAACTAAATGTATCTACTATGATAAAACAGCGCTGCTTTACCCCACATACTCACGACCGGAAGCACCGGAAGCGCTCGACTGTGGCATAATAAAAGCCCTGCTGCTTTACCCCACATACACACGACCGGAAGCAGAGGAAGCGCTCGACTGTGGCATAATAAAAGCCC